CCCCTCACTTCTTTCATATTCATCCTATTTCCTACTCAAATAGAGATGAGTACAGTCCAACACTGACCCTCCCCTTGAAGTTCCACATTTTTATCAGCAGGATTTATAGCTTGTGTTTCCTGGCACACATTCCCGTAGGTGTACATGCCTGTGGGAGCTCAAAGGACACAGACTGAGCGCCATAAAAGGAAAGACCACACCTTTATTTTATTTTGACGTGAGGAACCATAGCTACATTCAAGGTGTTTCAAGAGAGAGGTGTGCATGTTCTTATAAGGCTGAACCTGCCTTTACCGTCCAGTACCTTTCTCTTCTGTATTGGTTTGTGTATTTGGAAGTTGGGGAGGAAATATTCCACAGTGAAATCCACTAACCTGCTAGGACTGGAAGGACACGTGTGCTGCCCTGAGGCAGTTTGTGTCCTCTCAGTTATTTGTTTTAAAATGAAAAGAAACCGCAACTGTTTTTATACCAAAGCCTTTTACTACAGACAGTTCACACCTTTTCATTGAGAAAGACTGAAACTTACTGAGCAGTGACTGAAACAGAACAGAGTAATGGTGTCGCAACATGCAGGTCACACCAGTGACTCATCCACCCCTCCCTGTTCTCTCTCTCTCACACACACTCACCTTCATCAGATTTACCGCAGGCAAACATCATTTTAATTTTCAAGATTTATGGACTAACTTTAGTTTTACTTTGAATATACAATCCTTTATTGCTCAAGAAAATAATAATACTGTACTGTAAACCACTTTGCTCTCATCACAAATGACTTAATAACACAATGCTTGTCTGGACAAACCATTTCCTGTATGGGCATATAGTGACATTCTGATGACACTCGAGCATAAAAAAAAGAGTTACTTACTTCATGTGGGCAGTTCTCACATGGCTGGAAGTGGCAGAGACCTCTGGATAGCTGCTCTGTACTTGACTTACAGCAGGCCTCCTCACCAGCCTCGATTTCTTGGTTTATTTTAGTTAAAGGAAACGCACAGAGGGCTGAGTTCTTCTGAGGCTGGCCATGCTTGTTTACCTCCGCGAACACCCCATACAAAACATTTTCTCCCTTAGCTACCCTCAGCTCATCAGCCAAGTCCTTCCCAACTTGCCCGAAATGTGCTGCCTGTAATCCATTATAAACAGTACCCTTGAAAGTCCCTCTCCTTCTTCTCCTGCGCTTTGGCTCGTACCGACACTCCAAAATAAGCTCTCTGTACATCCACATCTCTGGATTAGAAATAGACAGTCGTCCCAGACGAGTCTGAAAAGCTGAATCGTTTTTGTAGGGATTTTCCCTCTGCAAGAAAAGAAAGTAGACATAATACTTGGTAGAGAAACTGTAGATGTAGTTAATGCTGTAAGAGTCACGTAGTCCAGGAAGCACTGTCACATTTGTGACCATGTCAAATCCATCTTCAGTTGAAAGTGGCCTCAGCACTGATAATGACCTCCTTGGGTACGTCTGTGTTATTCTGTCATTGACAGAGGCTGCAACAAAGAAGTATGATGTCTGCCCATCTTCAGCGATGATGGCCTTGGTACCAAATGGGCTGGCCACACAGTCACGACAGTAGGTTGGAGAGTTCCTTTCTTTTGTGTATAAACATTGAGGTGCAGGAGCTTCAAGGGTAATGTCAGTAAAGTAACAGATCCCATACCGAGTACTTCCACAAATGTACAAGTATGGAACTAGATTTAGAGCAGGATCCAAAAGCAGAATCTCGTTGTCTGTATCCACTGGGTCCTCAGGTTGAACTTCTACATCGCATGCCAGACAGGTTTCACAATCAGGACTGCCTATAGGTCCAGTTTTCACCTCCCATATTTTATTCATAGAACTGTTGACTCCCACTACCGCATTCTGATATCCAATGTAAACTTGTTCATTATCCGGGTTCACTGCAATGTTCTGTATTGGTTTCTGGGTTTGGAAGTGGGGGAGGGAATATGTTACAGTGAAATCTATGGAACTCTGAGGTGTAGAAGGACACGTGTGCTGCCCCAAGGCAGTTTGTGATAGCATCCATATCCATACTGTCAACAAGGCAGTCAAACTGACCATTTCCACTTTATGGTCTGCTGTGAATAAATGCTACCTATAAGACAGTTTTCTCAAAGAAAACATTCTGGAGAACCAGCGGGAGCTCTGCAAGAAAAAGCAGAGAAGGAATGTTGAGATTTACCAGACAGGGAGCTGTACCACTGGATTCTCACATTCAGCCGAGATTCTCCACTTCATACTGTAAACATTTTAGCTTACTTAATCTGAGACACAGCTGGAGAACTGAGGAAGGAGAAAAGTATCAGCTGCTTCATTTTTTTTCTTTTTGAGGCTCTTGATTAAGCATTTCCTTATCTTCAGCTGCAAATGCCTCATTTTAAAAGGTAGTATTACCTAATATACGCAGTCACGGCATGTAAAACTCAACAAGAATTTGCGAGGATAACGATACAATCTAAAGCGGACAAGAAACAACGCGTTGTAACATGTGGAGAAACCATGGGAGCGTTCAGCCCACCAAAACTACACAAAATACATACAGAGTAACAACTACATTACATGTGTCAAATACACAAAACTAATAGTTATTATCAGTGCAAAACGGTCATGGAGGCTTATAAAGGACTACGTTACTGTAAATTTCATATTACTATATGACATAACTCCTAATGAAAACCATGATACTACTACAGTTAGAATCATTTGTATTAACTCGAACTGTTTGGATAGGAATCATTAACATGGACCAATAGCTGAAAGTTCTCCGGAACCAATAAAATTTAAGAACTCTTTAACAACTTCTTTAACAAATTTGAATCCCTCAGAGATACGTATGCTAGTGAAGTTCCACTCACCTGACAGCGACTGAATACCTCTATCAATGAGTTTACACTGGCACTGAATTCCCCCATTCCTTTAAGATCTCACGTCAAAAAAAAAAAAAAACCCAAAAAAAAAAACCAACCCAGGAAGTTACTAACCCTTCACAATAAAAGCATTCCAGGCCAGCGGTCTTGTGTCTAAAGGGTGATTTAAAAAAAAAAAAATCAGGTCATCAGACCTACAGAGAGATTTGCATTTTTACAGTTGTATGGCACTGTATCGACGGGAGATCTGGATAAATTATAAGCCAAATTTCATTGAAAAAATAAATACTGTGGAAATTAATATCCTTAAATCCTGCCATTATCGTGCCAAGGTACATCTAAATGTCTGGAACAATATTCATTTGGTTATTATTACAAAACAAACGATCATTCGTGGCGTTTTTCTGCTGTAAAAATGAGAATGACACTGCCCGTTCAAACAAGTTTTCTAACATGATTCAATGTTTAATTTTTTTAAACTGTTAAAGACCGGAAATGCCATCATCATTCTGACTCGCTTGACTGTGGACTGTGATATTCCCTAAGCGGGTTCTGCCCTACCAAGCCGCGCCTGCAACGAGGAAGTATGAAATAGTTGCTAAATTTGACCATCCGCATAATTTCCTCTCCAAGAGAGCTTTGTCATATTTCATCCTGAAACATATTTCCAGTCAGACTTAAATTTTTGTGGAAAAAATCTTGGCTTATGAAAGCAGTCTGTAGCTTATATCAGCGCCTGAGGGACATTTGCCAAAAATACATTGCTTTTGGATGAGGAACAGTTTCTCCTCAGCAGCCAGAAAGTTATGGGAAGAATGTATTCCATTCTCCTGACAGATCACCTAAAAATGTATTAGTGATATAAAACACACATGGAAAAACCTCAACTTTGCTCTGTTGGATGATGGTACATGGAGGCTGTAAAAGTTGAGGCCAAAATGACCATCACTGTCATCAGTGTGCCAACAGAAATGCTATAATGTGGATTTATACTCCGAAGTTAAATATCTACTACTGAATCCAAAGTTCAAAGTAAACATATGCTGCAGTGTCACTCAGCAGGCTTTCACTTCCAGACCTAAAACCATAAAAATCCACAAGCAACCATTACTCCTAATGTTATCGAAAAAGTCTGAGGTAGTGCAAGAGCAAAAAAAAGAAAATAATTTTTTTCCTTTCTTTCTTTTTTTTTTTTTTTAACTCCACAAGGACTTGCTGGACTGAGTCAGAGTGAGAAACTAATCAAACAATCTGCCAAAAACAATAGCTGGAAGGCCATCATGTTTGCTCCTCAGCTTACATCTGTGTATCTGACAACCTGACTCATAAGACATGGGCCAAGCAAACAGACTTAGAGCTCACTGCAGTTTAGATTTTGATTTGGCCCGATATTAAATCCCCAGAAGACTGTTTAAAGTAAGGGTATTCAAACTTTTTATTATTATTATTATTATTATTATTATTATTATTATTATTATTATTATTATTATTATTATTATTATTATTATTATACCATTTTGGAAGTGAAACTGTACCATCTGAAATGTTGTGTTGTCTATGAATTTCATCTATAACTTCAAAAATTTGGACATCCTAACAACTTTTTAAAAAAATTATTATTTGCTAATCTTGTGTGTTCCCCAGTCACACCATAGTTACCCTGGTAGCCTGTTTATTTCTCTGTCTGATGATAATAATGAGTCACTTTTGGTCCATCCTACACATACAGTACTACATTCAGTTGTTTTTTTTTCTTTGACTGCTAGACTGAGATTATAGATTATTTTATTGATGCATGAGGGGATTCTGTGAGTTTCATTAAGGACTTGAACGTTTATGTATTAAATCCTGCTTTTAGACAAACATTTGATATTCAGATTTAAGGTGAGCACAGAGAAACTAGAGCTAAAGAGAAATTCAGCCAGAGAATCATAAATAATTCACCTGCACTTTCCTACTCGCAGGAGAAAACATGAAAAAGTGAGAAACGTTTATTGTTACCCAACACTAAGCGGTTACAAAGTTTCGAGTCGCCCTCTAGTGGTTACAGAAAGCGTTTGTTAGTGGGACCTTGCAGAGACTGAATCGAAACTGAAATACATTCCTGTTTTTTTCTTTTTGTCACAACCGGTTTACATTAAGTTCCGGGTTTTGACTGGACAGTTCTTTCTCTAAGCTCTCTCAGATTTGCCTTCAACTGCTTTTACAAAATGTCAGAAATCTCTGAAATCGATGAAGGATTCTACTCCCGACAACTGTAAGTACCAGCGATGTTGTGCCAAAAAGTGCACACCTGTCAAAAAGTGACCGGCGGTATCGTCTAAAAAAATGAATGATTGCTGGTATTTAAATTGTTTTAAATGACTTATGACACTTTGTGTTTTTTAATCTGCACAGTTATGTTCTGGGCCACGAGGCGATGCACCGAATGGGCTCAGCCAAGGTCCTCATAGCAGGAATGAAAGGTCTGGGAGTAGAAATTGCCAAGAATGTGGTCCTGTCCGGAGTTAAACATGTCACTGTCCAGGACGAAGGAATGACAACATGGAGCGACCTGTCATCTCAGGTATCCAAGAGGGATGCGTTTGAGCTGATTGCATAAACACATAAATATACAACAAACTTTAGGAAGCCTGTGTGATGAAGGGTTACTAAACCGAGCTGATTGTGATCCTGGTAATGGGAGTTTTGTTTTTTCAAACCTGTTTTTCTTTTCAAATGTTATCAGACTTTAGGATGAAACTGTGGCACTGATATTATTCCATGATTAAATAAATCCTCAATATTTCAATATTAAGTGATCAAATTGTGCACATTTAGTTTTGCTTTTCCTTTCACGACTGAGGACACCCGCCTTCTTTATCATGCGCTAGGAAACACCTGATACATTTTGAGATTTCTCTTTCACTCTTGAGCCTTGACACAGGCAAAACAACAAATTCAAACAAATTCATTTATTTTCTTTCATTGATACAATTCAGAGTCATGGGGGGATGAGTGGAAGAGAATGGATGGATAGATGGATGGATGGATGGTCAAACGTAATACAGCAGGTGGGCCTTGGGTTGAGATTGTTTTGTCTTCAATTTTAATTGTTCCCAACAGTTTTTCCTGAAGGAGTCTCATCTTGGTCAGAACCGGGCTGCATGCTCGGTACAACAGTTGGCAGTTTTAAACCCGCATGTGGTTGTGGAACAATATACTGGACCACTAGATGAAAACCTTCTTCTGCAATATCAGGTATTTTAATCTTTTTCTCAACAATACTGTGCTGATGTCCACTAAGGTTAAAATAATATTTTTTTTAAATTTCTGGAACCAAGAAACTTTCTGCCCTTCGTTAAATTAATATTCAATTCATCAAGGCCAAATCACAGTGCACATCAAGCAAAAAACACCTTTCTGAGTAGGGGTGCTATGTTTTTACAGGTAGTGGTCCTCACTGACTCCTCATTGGAGGATCAGAAGCGTTTTGGGGAGCTGTGTCATTCACATGGGATTAAGTTCATTGTAGCAGACACCAAGGGGCTCTGTGGGTAAGATAAACTCTGGAACATGTACTAAATCAACATTATGGAACAATCAAGAGAAAACTCTCAATTGCAGTCAGCTGTTCTGTGACTTTGGGGAGAAATTTGAGGTCTTGGACCGGGATGGAGAGATGCCTGCATCAGTGATGATACAATCTATTTCTAAGGTAAAACTTTCAATTTTATTTTGTGCTAAAGCTAAATTGCAGATCCAGCCATACATTTTGAAATCCTGGTACTTCATTTATTTCTGTGTAATGTGTATAACAGATCGTATGAGAGGAACCCTAAGTGAATCCAAGATATGCTTTCAAACTCTGACCATTTTAATGACTAACAATCCTTGAACCAGATTGTCCAAGAAGTGTTGCAAATAGGTTTACTTAACAGGCTTAAGAATTGACAGTTAGCATGTCTTTATTTTAGGATAATCCTGGAGTGGTGATCTGCACAGATGACCAGAAGCACGGACTCTCAGATGGCGATAAAGTTATTTTTTCTGAAGTGCAAGGCATGACAGAACTAAACAATATGGGCCCCGTGGGAATTAAAGTCCGGGGTCAGTGTTGGCAATTTCTTTCCTCAAGTTTTCTTTTCATGACATTTTCAACCTCTATGACGATCACTACTCTAAAAATCTGATGCAATTAGAGATTTTTTCTTTTTCTTCTTTATCATCTGCAGTCATTATAGTTTTATATTGTCAGCATTGGGTTTGTATTATTTTTCAGTAAATCTACTTTTAACTTTTTTAATTTCAATTTACCATAAAAACCTTTGTCATTTGTCATCTCAATCATTAGGCCCGTATTCCTTCAGCATTGGTGACACTTCAGCCTTTTCTGAGTATGAACGGGGTGGAGTGGTGAATGAGGCTAAACAGCCAGTCCTGCTAAATTTTGTAGGTGCAAGCGTTTTGTTTCTACTTTAGCTTTTAAACAATAAATCCATTGTTAATGAAACAATCTCATTTTAATTGCAGAAACCACTGAGTGAGGCTTTACAGGACCATGATCTGCTGGTAATGAACGACTATGGAAAAATATCTCGGCATCAGACCCTGCACTTGGCTTTCCAAGCACTCCATAGCTTTGTGAAGAAAGAAAAGCGACTCCCTGGTCTCTGGTCCCAGGTCTGTAAATCCAGCTACGGTGTTGTAGTTTAACTATTAAAGCAATTTACAGGACTGTTTCCACTCACTTGTTGGTGCTGCTACAGTCTGATGCAGATTACCTGCTAACCATAGTGAGAGAGCTAAATGAAGTCGCACAACTGGAAGAGCTAGATGAGGTCACAGTACAAAGCCTGTCGTACACAGCCCAGGGGGATTTGGCTCCCATCAATGCTTTCATAGGAGGCTTGGCTGCTCAGGAAGTCATTAAGGTGAGGTCTGAAGAAAATGCCTGAAAATGTTCATCTTTTGGGAGGGGGGGGGGGGTTCACTCATCATAAACTATTACTGTTTACACTGTATAATAAATAACATTTGTATTTAGCTAAGTTGACCAAGTATTGTGTGTCTCTTGTAATATTCCTGCAGGCATGCAGTGGGAAATTCACACCTCTTCAGCAGTGGCTATATTTTGATGCACTGGAGTGCCTGCCTGAGGATCAGCCGACAGAATGCTCATTTGCGATGGTATACCTTTAAAATATAGATTCCCGGGCTATCAAACAAGCTCTCCATTTGACTGATATGAACAGCATTAAGGCGCATTTAATCTGTATCTTTTCCTTTTCATAGAACGGCACAAGGTATGATGGACAGATTGCTGTGTTTGGCTCCGCGTTCCAGGAGAAGCTTCAACGGCAGAAGTATTTCCTGGTGAGGACTGATTTGACATTTGTCCAACAGAGGGCACACTCTGCACTGTAATGCAGAAACTCCATGTGTGTTTTTCTTTGATCTTGTCTGGTGTAAATGATGGCACATTCAGGAAAAAGCTGTGATTCAGGTGGCATTTCCTGGCATCTTTGTAAAGGGGCTCTTTAACAGTACTTGGCACTTTCCCTGTTTCCTTTAAAAGTGTGATTTTGTGCTGGGTTAACATTTTTAAGGGAGACAGTGTATGCATTTCTTTTATCTTTGTCGCAAACTCTGCAAGACATCAGGAAGTACAGGAGCTACTGAATGCCTAATCTCTATGTAGTGATGAGCAACAACAGATGAATGACTTTCTGCAACATTGTAAAACACATCTGACAATTTCATTTTTTTCCTGTTACTTTCAAGGTTGGAGCTGGTGCTATCGGCTGTGAGCTTCTTAAAAACTTTGCCCTTATGGGGCTTGGTGCAGGAGATGATGGACACATCACCATAACAGACATGGACTCAATAGAAAGATCCAACTTGAACCGCCAATTCCTGTTCAGGACTCATGATGTCGGGGTGAGAAGCCACACAGTATATTGTATCACAATTCTGTAGTGAAAAATGTAAAAAAGTATCATAGCACATCTCTGCAAGTTAACAGGGCTTTACTTATAGGAGAGGCTTGTGATGAAGGTATTATTACAGCCTGAGATGGCTTGTTTTAGTTAGTTTCCTAAGCGGCTCTATCAAAACAAAGCTAGATATTCATCTTGAATTGATTAACTCTTTATTATCATTTTGTTTTTAATACATTTTCTTGTTCACATACGTTATGTCACAGACTAACTTTTCCATTTTTGTGCGTTTGTCAATTGGCAGAAACCTAAATCAAAAGTTGCAGCCAGAGCTGCGTGTGACATAAACCCACAGATGAGAATCACAGCGCACCAGAATCGCCTGGATGCTGACAGTGAAGGAGTATACGACTACTGCTTCTTCATGGGCCTCGATGGAGTGGCTGCAGCCCTTGACAACGTGGAAGCCAGTGAGGACACTTACTGTCACTATATTATAAAATGAAATTACAAGTCAAAGTCATCTTTATTGTTAATATCGCCATAGGTTCGGGACATACCCACATACCCATGGTGTGCAAAAGAAGACTAATTATGAATAAGAAAAGAGATGTAAAAATATGGGGCATGGGTATTTAAAAAATGACGTATTGGTGTAAAAATAACGAATTATACAAATGTTATTATAGCCTATATACAGTATTTCAGTCTACATATAAGATGTCAAGTATAAAAATTATTTTGCAGTCTATAGAAATGATATAAAAACATTCACAGTTTATATTTACAGTAAGTATAAGGACTGTACATGTACATTTCTAAGCTTTAACCCACTGTTTCTGATGGTCAGGGGTCTATCTTGATGGACGCTGTGTGCAACACCAGAAGCCAATGCTGGAGGGGGGCACTCTAGGGACCAAAGGTCACACCCTGGTGGTGGTTCCTCACCTGACGGAGTCTTATGGACCGAATAAATCAAGTTCTAGCAATGCTATCCCGCTGTGTACTCTCAAGAACTTCCCCCACCGCATTGAGCACACATTGCAGGTATAAAATCAAGTTGTTCAACTTTGTGTTCACTTTTGTTGTAACGGGAATTTATTGCATCTAATACCAGATGACCAGTGAATACAATAGTCACTACGGTATGTATTATTGGTATATAGTTTAGTAATTAGCACAAAGAACTGGGATTGTTCTGTGTGATATTAAAAAGTGTCACTAGTGCTAGATAAAATCAGGGTATCACCAAAATTAGTGCAATGCAGACTCCATCCAAGACCTGCTGAGGTAATGCTGTTAAAATTCATATTAGCTCTTAAACATAACAATGACCAAAACATTTGAAATGACTGCAGACTTTCTTTTGCACAGTGCCCTGCAAAAGAAAGTCTTTTTTATTGTGTTATTAATTCTTTTTTCACTAATCTGGTCTTGTAATTGTTTCAGTGGGCGAGGGACCAGTTTGAAGGACTGTTCAAACAGACACCTGAAAATGTAAATTTCTTCTTGAGGTAAGATACGATGATACCATCCTCATGCGATTTTCCTGTGTTGGCGCCAAAAGGGAGACAGTGTCTTCACCAGTCTGGTGTTACTTAGCGTGGTCATTTTACGATGCTTTTCCACTTTCTTACAAAGCATTCCAGCGCACCTACAAAACAGCTAATGAAGTGGTCCAAGCTCGTTATTTAGTTTTATTAACAGGAAAACATTTGGTTGGCTTTCAGCAGTAAAGCCCTTGTAAGAAATTACATAAACAGTCTGTCTTGCCAAGTCTCCTCTCTGTAATGTATAATCCACAGCAGCTCTAACACAGTTTTCTACTAATAATAGATGCATTCTTTGATAATTAGAGGCTTTGTGGTTTAGGAACCATCCATCAAATTTTAAAAAAGAGATTAGATGACAGGAAAGAGTGCTATATGATGTGAAATGGATGAATCAGTGAATCTGCTGGATTTTATTTGTGAGATTTAAGTACATGGCTAATCTTTAAAAATTAATAACCACTGTATCAAGCTTTACATAATGCATTGACCTAATTATAACACACAGAAGTGTCATCAAAGGCAGATTTAAGCTTCCAGGTCGAAACTATGTCTGAGTACTGAGGCTCGGAGCCATCCTAATCCAGCCATGTTTTGAGATTTGTCTCTGTTTGTTTTAGTGAGATTAACTTAATCTGCCACGGCAGTAAAAGCATTTACTGTCTTTCTTGTTTCTATATGGAAGCAAAAACTGGGCCTAGAGCAAAAATGGTGCTTGTGAGTTTAAACAACCATTCAAATTTTTCATATTGCACAGTTTTTTAGAGATAAGGGCGCTTGTCTACTAAGATAACCAGTTTTTCCCGGCCCTCCTTCTAGCGCAATCCTGGAAAATGTTTTCTGGGCATTTTTATGAGACAGATCAGCTACATGTCATAGTCCAGCAAATATTAAGTCATGGTTCATGAGGTTATGGAAAGGAGGTTTTTTTTGTTGCTGCTGTTTTAATGCCACACCCATACAGTTCTGTGTACAGCTATGAGTATGCATGTTCCTGTTCAGGCAGGTTTTTTGTTTCCTGAGCGAGCGCATATTAATGGCGCAAGAACTACCCATGTGTGGGTTTAGAGTTGTACTGACCAGCACCTGATAAACTTACTCAAAACTGTCTTCTCCTGCCTATGAGTCGAAACACTCAGAGAAATCCCCCCTTTGAGTCACTTTCGAGACAACACTCAAAAGATTTTTTAGTCATTCTCTTCTGTGACACAGGTATAAACAGTTTTGGGGGGTTTCCAGTAAGGCTTTAGTCAGGTTGACGTTGCAGGTCATGTATGCCACGTGTGTTGTTTTTAAAGTTTACTTTCAGCCAAGTCATGTTGCAAATAAAAATCGAATCTTTTATTGTGAAGGTTCAACCCACAGAACGCATCAAACATATTATTATTACCTTTCGATAGCCTGCGCTTTGTCTTTCTGCTCAGCCAATGATCATTATTATTATTATTATTTGCTCTGTCACTGAATACAACTATTGCTGCTCTATTTTCCACAGGGATACGGCATTTATTAAGCGAACTCTAGATCTTGGTGACACTGAGGCCTTGGAGATTCTCGGAGGAGTGTGGAGCAGCCTGCATGACATGGAAGCTGGAGGACAGCGTCCAAAGTCCTGGGAAGACTGTGTGCGCTGGGCACGTTGCAAGTGGGAGACCCTGTTTAACAACGAAATCCGTCAGCTTCTGCACTGTTTCCCTCCCGATGAGGTAAAAAAGCAACTATCCTGGTGCCAAAAATGTAACATGTGTAATTAGTCTCCATGAACACACAGGGGCACTGTTGTGCAGGTAAGATATTTGCATTCCAAACAATGAAACACTAAAGTGAGATATTTGAACAATAGGAATTGCATTTTTCACATTTCACTTCATGGAGTACTGCAGCATATTTCCCCAAGAGTAGATGGCAACATTAGCCCTGCTGAAAACCTGAAAAGCACTACTGATAAACAGGGTCTCTTGAGGGTCTCTGAGGGGTTTTTAGTCTGTTGAAACGTGCAGACAGAGTGGTGTCACATGTTGCTGTCATACCTTTGGTGTAGGAGGGTGCACAGATCAGTATCAACCTAAACAAACCCTCCAAGACTTAGAACACTAACAAGCTGTTTTCTAACAGAGCTCCAGCAGTGTTTTGCAATGTTTTAATATTTATTAATGCAGCTTTTGGTATGGCATTTTTTTTATTATTAAATATAAATATTCTCTTATCTAATCATCACAGCACATGATACAGAAACTCTGCGTCATTTGTGGTTTTGGCTTTGGTTCTCTCTCTTTTTTCCCCTCCATACTTCTCTTTGTCCTAGTTACGTAAAAAGAGTTATAGTTTTATTGTTCTCGTTGACAGTCAGTTTTTACCACAGACCTTCTTGGGGAACTATGATAAGGAAGCTAATGTCAGTTAAAAGTCAAAAGCTAAACTGACCAAAGCTGGTACACTGACAACACTGATGACTGCACGGCTACTGTGCTCTGTGTTGCCACAGCATCTCAAGTTGGAAAAGCAGAAAATACAAGAAGTGACGGGTGAGAGAAGTGGATTGACTGACTGCTTTATTTTAAACAAAGCAGTCAGTCAATCCACTGACTGTAGCTGAGGTGGCAGAGCAGGTCAGCCACTAATCAGAAGGTTGGTGGTTCGATCCCAGGCTGCCTCCTGGCTGCATGCCAAATATCCTTGGGCAAGATACTAACCCCGTGTTTGCCTACTGGTGGTGGTCAGAGGGCCCGGTGGCGCCTGTGTCCGGCAGCCTTGCCTCTGTCAGTGCGCCCCAGGGCAGCTGTGGCTACAATGTAGCTTGCTATCGCCAGTGTGTGAATGGGTGAATGACTGAATGTAGTGTAAAGCGCTTTGGGGTCCTATGGACTAGAAAAGCGCTATACAAATGCAGGCCATTTACCATTTACCATCTAAATACAGCAAAAATAGCGAAAAATAAATTGAGTTTCTACCATATCTCTCTATACCACACAATTTATATGTTTAAAAGGGTTTCTACACTCATCTGATCTAACCCTGCTTAATACTATTTAATAATTTACAACTCACTCTTCATCGGTACAGAACCTGACAGTAAACATGTATGACTATTGAATGAGTGTAGATGAAATGACAAGAGATTTAAAGGTATCCTGTCACAGAATTTGCTGTATTTGTGAGAGAAATTATATTCAGCTCTTAAACTGCTTAATTAACAGCAATTAATTGAATTGTTGATAAATTTGGCCATGTAGCTTTTTGGTTCAACTCTCTTTTTCTTAACAACCAGAACAAAGTTGATTTCAAGTAGAAATTTCCATTATTAAAGTCACCTTTATTCTTAAGTCTCTACAAGAAAAAAGAACACTTGGTCAAAGAACCTTAGGAGGCCCCAAAAAGTCTTAAATGAAAGTGTCATCCTTCTTTTTAAGGACAAATCACTGTTTTGGCCCCCTCTGACCCTGAAGAGAAGGCTAACAACATGCCTGTTTCTGAAAAGGACAATGTTGTTGGTGCCTTTTGGCTGCTATACAATGCCCCCCCTGCAGTGAAAACTGGCACCACCAGTAGGAGACTCTCTCTTTCTCGGCATATGGACCATTTGGAAACATCAAAGCTCTCAAGTCCCTTTGTTCCTTTATCAGACATACAAATTGTGTAGTAAACACACAGCTGATAACAATATTAGTGTGACTGCACCAAAGGAAGGTAGTTGACTTGCTTTGTTAGAATAGTAAAGTAGTTGTCAGGCTTTATCCAGTAAATCACTAATGCACTGGAGTCATCATGCATTAAATATCATATAAGCTGAAAATGTAAAACCTAATCTCTTTTCTTGTGCGTTTTTGTTTGGAATATAGCGTCACCTTCATTATATTTAAGGCAAAGATCTCACCATGACAGTCATAGGTTTACTCACCAAGTTACACTTATATTTATATAAATGTTTTTAAAGAATAAAAGTGAAATGAGTTTACATCTGTTACTCGCTGCGATAAAGGGATTTTCTTCTGCCTCTGTTTAGAAGACCACTCATGGCTTGCCGTTCTGGTCTGGATCCAAGAGATGCCCTCACCCCCTGACGTTTGATCCTAGCATTGTGAGTAGTGTCTGGTCCAGTTCTTCATCCAGTAGCAATCATATACATAGTAGATGGTAATGAGAAAACATACCACAGTATACTGATAACCACTCACATTCCTTCTTTATCTTGTCTGATAATGGCTCTTCCTCACTCTGACCATATAATTGAGTCTTATCTCAGGTACACACGGGCAATAAAAGAGAGATAATAATCTGCTTTCTAGACACATTCAATTCATGTTATTCTCCTTATCAGTGAATTGAAAGCAGCATTGCAGAGAAGTGAAATAATGGAACTGTACTGTGCGTGTTTGCTAAGTAGAAGTTACTGCCACTCTATGCACAATATAGATGCGCATTTTTGGGAACACTGGAGAAATTATTGCAGCTATATATTCCATTAAGGGAAGTAATTGGTATTACTTTAACATTGTTCTGACTCTATTCTCCTTTTTTAATACGTTCCTTTCCACAGTTTCACCATGATGGCAGTGCTTCTGTAATAGACCGTGTTTAACTAGAATGTTAAATGTATTTTCCAAAACATTATATTTTCTTCTTCATCAAGACTATGTGATTGTTGTGTTGTAGACTACTCATATTGAGTACGTGATGGCTGGAGCTAATCTGTATGGGCAAATCTATGGGATCAAAGGGACAAGGGACTTGACCTCCATCAGAGGAATCTTAGAAAATATCCATGTGCCAGCTTTCACTCCCAAGTCCTCTGTGAAGATCCATGTTACTGACAAGGAGATGGAGGAGGAGAAAAAACGTGAATGCGATGATGCGGGTCAGTTAGTTCAATTTTTTTTATTGTTACCAACTCGCTTTCTTCCAGCATGTCTTATCTTTACATATTTTTCTCTTTCTCTGCCACAGAAAAGGTCAGACTTGAGGAGTTGAAAGGAAAGTTGACCTCGCCCTCTCTGAAGAGCTCAGCTCAGATGTACCCTATCGACTTTGAGAAGGTAGGGCAATAGGACAATGACACCTCTGCCTCAGACTTCAGAGAAGCTGCAGATAGTGACATCTTGATCTGAGCTGATTCAACAGTGGTTTTAGCAGGGTAGAGTTATATATTTTTAAACTGTCCCTCCTGCTTTCAAAAATTGTAGCAATATAATGATTATTGAGTCAGACAACTCAGATATAAAATGTGTACTTTTATGTGAGAACTGGTTTGCGGACTGTCAAACAGCATACACAGACTCCTGAAGGCAGACTTCCCTTAATAAAACATTGTCACTCTAGACATTAAGTTACGTTTTGCACTTGGCTGGCATTGTAAATATTCATAAAAGTTCATCTAATCTAGAAAGTTATTTAGGAGTGTAGACTAGATATAATCCCCAGTTCCCTAAGCAATCGTTTCCTTCCAATGTATTTCCTAAAAGTCAGTCACACCTTGGAGTAAAGCGATTTTCTTAATAGGACAGCACTTTCCCAGTGACAGTATCCCTAACACTCTATATTTTTCCTTGATATCCTCTGGGAAACATGGCCACAAAACACATTCAAATGAGGCAACCTCATGGTTTAAGATGCCAGCCATACACTTTGTTCCATTTGTTTTCTCCATTTCCTCTCGTCTTTCTGTACTTGTAAACTTTTGAATGCCAGGTAAAAATAATTTCAATAGTTTAGCTTTAACTACAAATGCATGAGAAGTTTAAAAATTAAGCAAACATTGGTGTTGCTGCGCATTGGCCAACTTGAAAAACAAAGTAAAACATCTTGGGTCCAGTTTCAAGTTTTGACTCCAGTTAGTAGCTTAATTAATAAATGATAAAATAAATGGAAAAAAAAGAACAGGCTCTAAATCAAATATAAATCTATATCCTCCAAGACTTAGTGTAACTATTAACTCAAAATCTGTTTAAATAAAAATTAACAGTTGTAAGCATAAAAAAGTTTTGCAGTAAATGAGCCATTTCCTTATAGCGCCATTATATTTGTTCAATTATTCCTCCCTACTGGAACTTTTTTCCTCAGCATCTGACATGTCCTGTTGGACAGGACTGGATCCTGTAATAAATGTAATAGCCAACATCTGGACACTGGGCATAACAAAGTCTTTTCTAAACGAGTTTACAATAAACTCTGCCCACAAAGTAGCTGTACCATATTACCCCATGAATAAGATACTGTTGCTCAACAAAAGGTAAAAGCAGGTCAAGATGCCGCTGCTGAGTGATAGAGATTGTTATTAAAAGAATTTAGAGAAGGTAAATGACTTTAAATGAGATTCTGATAACACATGCAATCAACCAAGAGAGGCTCTAATGAAGGTGCATGAGGTAAGTCAGCTAAATATCAAATGTTGTCTTGAATAAGAACAAGACTCCCAAACCCACTTCTCTTCATCTTTATCCCTCTGTGCCCTGGTCAGGCTGTGGATAGATGGAATGTGTGTAGGAGGGTTTCAAAGGCATCAGGTTGCCAGCTTGGAGCTTCCTCACAACCCCTAAAGCAAACCTGGAGTGACAGTCACCTCCTAGCTTTTGTAGAGCCGCACTAGCAGAGGCATGACCTCACTGGCCACGTCGATCACAACAGGAATCTGATTTCCACTGCTTTCTGACAGGGTACTAAGTCATATATCAGAGTGACTGAAGCGACATAACAACAAAGCAGGCAAAGCTCAAAGAGGGCACAGAGAATGACATCACTGAGTATGTCACTGGACGTGGACGTGGCTTTGAACTGTCCCACTAGCAATTTATAATGTTGTTAATACTGTTAAGCTGCCCTTCTGTTTTTTGTCATTATATGTAATTGCTGTTCATGGGTATTAAGCTTCATAGTGTTATATCTTAATTAAAAAATATTTAATGTTCCTACTCATACAGGATGATGACAGCAATTTCCACATGGACTACATTGTTGCTGCATCTAACCTGAGAGCAGAAAACTATGACATCCCTGCAGCTGATCGTCACAAGGTCAGTAATTGTATGTATACATAGTAAAAATAAAAGAAAAATATGGACAAAGATCTAAGAGATGAAGCTGAGCCGAGGGGCGAATGAGACAAAACAGACCTGCCGACTGCTCCCCCTCCCTGTAGGTCATGTTTTTCCTAGGTGCTGCACACACCTGCCCTAAAGCCACAAAAACAGACCCCTCACCTATTGTTCACAGAGCAGAACTAATCACGGCACTTTACCTGTCGCCTGGGAGGTGACACCTGAGCCAGGCCTTGTACCAGCTGCCACAGTGACATACACAGCCAAGACATGAACATGGATGGGGGGGGGAGTTACCCCTAGGAGATGGGGGACAAAACAGAGTTTGCCTTGTGTAATCAGACATTTCCACATTTTGCGTCTTGTTTGCAAATAACTTCTCCTTTAGTCACAATTTAACCAATACATAATAAACATACAGTATATCAGTAATGCAAGACCACATGAGGGCTAGACTCTAATATATTTGTAACTGTCAAAGGTAAAAATACTCATCATGCAACATCATCAGTATATTGTGTATATGTATGTATATACAGCTAGGTCCATGTTTTGATGGACTAAGATTTAGTTGCTTTGTCCACTCAGTTCTGGAAAAATGTGACTAAATCTGAGCAGAGAGTAAAGACCAGTACATTTCAGAAATCATCCTGCTGCTTCTGTCAGCAGTCACATCATTAATCATCAATAGTGGCCCGGATCCACTGGCATCCATCCCTACCCATGAAATAACCTAGCCTCCATCATGTGTGACAAGGTGGCATGCTCTGAATCATGAGCTGTTTCTCTCCTTCTCTATACTTTTGCCCTCCCATCACTCTGGAACAAGTTCATCTTTATGTCCATGTTTTTTTTTTCAGAACTGTGCAGGTTCTTTTAGATATTTTTCTGGCAAAGTTTAATCTGGTTTCTTGTACAACCTTGTACATTATAAAGTTTTTCTTTAAAATTTGTGATTGGTGTATTTTGCTTTCTTCATATTTTCAATTCAATTCAATTTTATTTATACAGCACCAAATCACAACAACAGTAGCCTCAAGACGCTTTATATTGTAAGGCAAAGACCCAACAATAATGCAATAAAGTGCCTCATATTAACCCTGGAGAACCCATGGGGTCAGAGCCGACCCCACTGGTTTTCTAGGGAAACCATGGGGTCAAATTTGACCCCATGGTTTCTCCAGGGTTAAAGTTGAAGTGAAAAGCTATAAAATACGAATTCAGAACTTTGAATCAACTTCAGATGTTATATCTGATTTATATGTCCATACGTAACAAGGGGACAGGTCTTAATTGACTGATAAGCCATGAAATTACTTGTAAACATACCTGTAACTAAAATAAAAGACAACTTCTAGTACTTCAGAACTAACAGAGTAAACAAATTAAGTTTCTTTCTACCAGTGAAATGTTGTAAAACACGAGTTTATATTTGTTGGATCACGTTAGGATTGTACTGAAAGTGACTGAAGATAACTGAAATATTTTCTTGCCACTACATGACACTGCGATGTGAAAGTGAACGTTCCACTGTCACCTTTGCAGAGTAAGCGCATTGCCGGAAGGATCATCCCTGCCATAGCCACCACGACAGCCGCGGTGGCAGGCCTCATGTGCCTGGAGCTGTATAAGCTGGTTCAGGGTCACCAAAAGATCAGCTCTTACCGCACGGCTTACATCAACCTGGCCGTCCAGTACTTTGTCATGTCCCAGCCGAGCCGGCCTCAGCAGTTTGAAGTGAGTAACAGCTCCATATGACCACAGCTTTATTTTAGTTATAGTGGTTTTAGGGAAGAGATCAATAAAGCTTTCAGTCACATATAGGACCTGAGTAAGGCACTTCATAAAGTCTGACAGACCCTTACTGTGTAACGTACTTTCATAATTTAAACCTGTCTATTTTGAGGATAAATCTGGTGGGTTCTTTGTAGATTCATGTCCTTCCTTTTTTAGTGGAAAGCATTAAGCCATGAATGAGTGCTCTCAGAGTAAAAACCCACTTTTGACCCTCAGTATCTTGAATATACTGTAAGCCCATTCTTTAACTAGCTCAGTATAATCCTTAGCATATTTCAGTGCAGGCAAGACATAAAACAGATCCATGCATGTTTGGACAAATTAAGTGAATTCAAAGCAACCCTATTCCCTGAAGCCAGTGTCCTTCTGGGCTCAGTACCACATGCTAGACACATTTAAGGTCAGGTTTGAGAGAATATCATGCCAATTAATTTTACAGCACTCTTACATCTCACTGTAGGTCATCTCTGGAGGTAATCAAATACTAGACTGGAATGCTCCAGCTTTCCCACTCAGGGCACTAAACCTCTGACAGGGTCAGTAGTTGGGGTAACTGTGTCCTGTGGGGCTTGAGGGTACTCTGAGACATTGTGGGTCTGGTTTCAGCTGTGGTTACAGGGGGAAATTCAGCCTCTGCATAAAACGCTGTCATGATGACAGAAGCAGCTGTGACTTTTGGAGGTTTGGAGGTTCCAGACGTGCCTTCTTCCTCTCTCCGTTCTTACAGTTGTTGCCTGTAAATTTGTTGATGTTTGCATATACTTTTCTATTTTTTCATGCCTTCTGAAATTTTCTTAGATGTATTAACATTTCCAAAGCAGCACGGGACACTGGATAGAGTCAGTCATTAAAATAATCAGTCACAGTGACAGAGTAGCTGACATTATCCCAGCCAGAAGGTTTATTCAAGTATTCAAGTACTGAATTGGACAGATGGGCAGACATTAAATTTTTCAGACGCAGGCTCTTTCTTCATGGGTTGAGGCTCTGGGTTTTAAGCTTTTGTTTATTCAACAGAGGACCCAAAGGAGACAGGACACCCACAGCCAGAACAGCATTTTTAGAGTTAAAGATAAATCCTATAGTAATACCGGAAGACATTCATATATCAGGAACACACATGCAATTATATGAGAAACAGAGAATGAGGGTTAGCTGCCAAACCTTCAGCCATATAATGTGGGACATAGTGCCAAAGAAAACATTTTGGTTTTTGTGATTACTTTAAATTCATAATTTATACCAAGCTTTGTAATTGATAGTCTCTCTTTATTTGTTTGTATTTACTCTTTCAATATGGCATCAATTCTAGTTTCTCATCCCTCTATTTATTGCAAAAATAGTTTGAATGTGCACATGTCATTATCATGAGTATATCAGCAACAACATATATTTTGACTAGTGGAAATAAATTGGATAATTTTATTTATGAGATTGTAATTGGCAAAGTTTTTATTAACCTTTTTAAGGGATCCTTATCACAACTGTTTATGTTATGGATTCATGAAAAGCCAATAATAATTTAACCTAAATATTGAAACAGATTTTGGCCTCAGATATCCAGTATGAGACTAACTTAATCACCCGGGGTCAAAGGTCCAGGGTGTCTATTCCTTTGTTGATATATAGATATTTTTTAACAAATTGATTCCCTGTAAACATCCCCTATGCATGAATGTGGTGTAGATATCATGTGACTAGTTAAAGAGATCACATAACATAAGATTTCTGAGTCCTGCAATCCTTGATTAACGCATTGATGTGCTGAAATAAATGAGTGTGGAAATATACATAAATGGTGTACATATAAATGATTTTAGATATTATAAATTAGACAACGACACAGAAGGCAAAGCCATTTCTTTTATATTCTCTTATCTCTCTAATCTAAGATTAGAGTTTTTGGGAGACAGCCTTTGAAGCAACTGCAGGCATGCAGCTGTTAAAAATCACTGATCAGACATGCAGTATTAAGGTCTCAGTTTACTTTTGCAATGGCTAAGACCTCTCCCCTTATGAGATCAGTCTCAGTTCATTAATATCAAGTAACAACAGTCACATCTTGCTGGTTGTGCAGGTGGGCCACCCAGTGTTGTTCCAAAGTGAGGTTAATGACATTACTCCATTGCTAGATTCTGGGCAGTCATCATAACTTTACCTGTAGTGCCACAGTTCTGATCGCCTAAGTCCTTATGGAAAATGTGTTTTTAATGTGGTCATACACAGCTGTCACTAAATAACCCTTTAACTTAGCTCTTAAACTAAAATAAATGCCTCCCAATGCCCCCATTGTCTTAATAATTTTCCAGGATTTCTTGCAGCTGTTTGGCGAAATATGAAAATTTCCTGGTATTTCCCTGCTGCTGTGCTCTGTATAGAGGTAGAGATATGTAAACAAGAGGTTTGTCCTTGTCTGCTCAACACTCTTTTGCGTAGCATTCCTCCCTATGTTATGTTTTTCAGTTGGGGAGACAAGGCCCAGACATCAAAGGCAGACCTAGAGTAACAAGTTCCTAAAACCTCTTTTACTAAAGGATCATAATATAATACAGCCATAGACTGCTGACTGTAATTAAAAGGTGCACATAGCCAACCATTAGTCCCATAAGTCCCACTGTGAAACCTCGAGCCAAGCATTTTGTGCATCGACAAAATGTATTGACATTTTTTTTAAACCAGACATGACGAGCAGCAGCAAGGTAGTTTTCACAAAGACTTCCATACAAGGAGACATTTTTGCAACCAAAGTAGTCTCTTTTTAGAGAAGCAGAAACATGTTTTTTATACTGTAAAAAATATGAGTTTTTCCATCTGTGTTCTGGTCCTAAAGCTGGCAGTGAACATGCCTGGTAAACACAAAATGTTTGCAGTTCCACAAAAATGGCAGAGTTGCTCACTAAAAAGGTCCCACTTTAGGTTCAGTCCTCCACCCAAGGACACTTGGCACACAGAGGAGCCAGGGATTGAAGGGCAAATACTCACACAACCCTTTCCACCAACTGAGCGACAGTTGTCCCATATAGTATAATCCATGCCAGCTCTCTCATTCAGTCAAATGTTGAATCAGCTCTGTGACTACCTCAGCTGCAAGTTTAAGGCCGCAGCAACAATGTCCTCTCTGTGCCCTTCACACAGAACAGTCAGCTGCAGCTGCAGACTATTTTCAAACATGCAGGGCCTAAAATGCCTGGAAATGTTTGCAAAAAATTTACGAAACGATAAAGACATGAAAAGCTTGTTGTTGCTTGTTGTTACCACCGCTATAGTCAGTCAGACAGTAATACATAGTAACTGCTGGCACCGTATTCATCTAATTATCACAGTGCTCGTAACTATCCACGTTACGGAAATAACTCTAGAGTGGACTGGCCTTTGCAATGACTTTATCTTCATCGCCTTTCCCAAGCTGTACAAAGCACATGGTTATTTTCGTTTTGAAGGAATAACCCACTGCTTTATATGGGGGGGTTCCTGTTTTTCTTTTTAATTTTACAAACCAAAGCCACCTTTACATTTCACCTTCAAGGTTACAGTGGGGAGAGTTTTAGGGGCCAAAAAAACCAACAGTGATTAACTAGCTGTACTCTACCAACTCAGTGCCTCGCAAGTGGAGCATTAAGAGATCAGTACTTCCCTCAATAGTTGGTGAGGCCAAAACAGATTTACTTGAACAAAACTTAAAAAAAAATCATGTTGTCCAATGCATTGTTTGTAAACATATCAAACATAGTAAGTATATTTGAATAATCAGTAGTAATAATAATTCTGCTTCCTAGGGACAAAAAAAAAATCTAATTAAAACTATGTACTCTTTGTTTCTAGTTGGACTCATTAAATGAGATTTTCTGGTACTAAGTCATTAAAGGACATTTCAAGAGCAGCAAAGATTGATGAGTGCAGCTGTAACTGAGCTGCAGCCTCACTAAAATGCAGAGAAACATCACCTGAGGCAGGCAGAGGAGGACATGTTTCAGCTGTGTGTTAAATATCTCAATCTTCAACCCCTGTAGCACCTTGCCAACGCTCTATCAGAGTACGCTGTCTTTACTTGTCTGCTAGGATGCCTGGTAGTTGTGTTCCATGGAAATACTCCGTCTTACATGCCTGTGCACACATCCTCCACACTCTACTCCTAACTTTGTGCCCTTTCACGCTTCCTCGGTGCCCCACTTCCCCACTTTGCCCTTTCAGTCTCTAATTGAATTAGCAGAGTTGGAGGCAAGACTCTGGAGGCGCTCGTCGGTCAATGGTCACACCGCTTCTTTGTTAATTATCTGCAGAAATGATGGTTATTTCCTGCCTTCACAGGAAGCAGTGCATTGAAACCAGATTTCCCAAAGAACTCTATGTAATCTTGCTGTCGGCAGAGAATCAGGAGGAGGCAAGGATTTTATGTCCATCTGCTCCAGTCTCTGTTTCTAATAAACCTTTTAGTCACAACTTACTTCTTTGTTTGGATTTAAAAATCTGAAAAAAGGAAGACTGTTTAAATTTGCTGAGTAGACATTGTGTCTGTTTATTTTTTTATTTTTTTAAATGTAGAAAAGAAAACCCACGGCCAACTGATTTGTGATTTGAGCGTAATTGAAAGTCACACATCTGTCACACAAATAACAGGGAATGGCTTAAAGACAGAACAAGAACAACAAAGGAGGAGATTTGCCTCACATGTGGTTAAATATGTGTTGGTCTCCTTGGACTGTGCCAGTAAAGAAATGGGGTGAATATGATCCAAGGCCTTCTGGATTCCCAGAGGAGTGCAGAGGCCATTGTGCAGTTTGTAACTCAAGACCCAGACATGAATAGTGCTTGTGGGATAATGAGTAATCTGTGATCAACATATGCGGCTTGTGCCTTCTGTTGTTTTCCACGGTTTATTTGGAGGCAGTATTGTTTTGGTAGAATGCTGTTAAGTCAGATGTTTTCTCTACTGCATTGTA